CGACAGAGCAAGAGCTCAGAGGCGCTGCCGCTCTGGCCACGGCTCCGGGCCGCTCGGCTGAGGCCGTGGGTTCTGGAACAAGACGGAAAGAAACACGGACGAGAGCAAGCGTGGGCCGTCCGACCCGGCCCCACCTGGCTGGCCGAGAGCGAGCGCCACCACCGCACCGCGTCCGCTGCGCGTGCCGGCTTCCTCCCTCCTGAGCGGCCCTGCCCCCGCTGCTTCAGATGACCTCCCACTCGTCCTCCAGGTCCTCGGGGGGGTGGGGGGTGGGGGCGTGGCCGCCGTGGGCGCCGTGAGAGTGGCTGAAGGTCTTGGTCAGCCGCTGGAGGAGGTAGCCTGGGGGGCCGACTGCCCACAGCTCGTCTGACGAGGTCACTGCAGGGGACGAGAGCCGGCCACACGCTCGTCGGTCAGCGGGCCCGGGTGGGGGACACACGCGGAGAAGGGGCCGCTCCGCCATCCCGACCCGTGCCTCGGTTTCCTCAGCTCGAAAGCGGGCGGCCCAGCACCCTGTGCTCCTCCTGGGAGACTCCGGCCAGCCAGGTGCCAGGCGCCCTCCCTCTGGTGTGACCCCCGGCTCTCTGGAGAGCGAGCCCGGCGGGGGCAGCCTCTGGTGGAGCCCCTGCTGACACTGCCCGCGGGAGCCTCGGACCCAGGGAGAGCCGCGCAGCCCCGAGCCCCGCGGAGCCCTGGCACCTGCCTGTGAAACACGTCACGTTTCCGGGAATCTTCTTCCAGTAGTCTCCGGCAGGGTTTTTGTCGGTGACGCCGTACCGCCGGGCGAGATCGCCGTTGGGGCAGCGGGCCCACACGGTCCTGGTGCTCAGGGCCAGCTGGCAGGCTTGCAGCCCTGCAGGCCAACAGCGTGTCCATCTGTCCGCATCCCTGCTGTGACAGGACAGACCGCCCCCTCCCACGGGGCTGCTCCCTCCCCCCACTGGGCGGCCCCGCGGTGACCGTGCCCGGCGCCTGCCGAGGGAGAGCAGCCCCACCGGCTGAGCCCGCGAAGCTGCTGGGAGCCCGGGGCCACAGGACAGAAGGGTCCAGGCCGGGCGGAAACGATCCTCCCGGAGAGGACTCCGCGGTGAGGGGGGCTGGCTGGGTCCCTCAAACAAGGAATGTTCCGCTAGTGGCTCGCCGGTCACCTGCCTCAGCACAGCAGCGGAGAGGAGACAAAGTTGCTGCGTGGGGGACAGCCTGCCGGACGGACCAGGGGCCTGTGTGAGGGGACACCTGGGACCCCCCTGCCTCGTCTCTACCTGGCACGTGCTCCCAGTCGGTCCCCACCGGCATCTCTTCGGTGATCCCCACCCGGACGTGGACGTTCCACCTGCTGTCGAGTGCCCACAGCATCTGGTCATTGGGGCTGGAGTGCAGGCTCACCAGCGTGACCCCAGCAGGCTGCAGGCAGGAAGGGGCTTTCCTCAGGGAAGGAGGCGGCAGGACGTGTTATTTTTGGAGCCGGGCCGGGAGGTTTGGAGCCTGACACGTGCAGGAGGTGCGGGGGAAGCCGAGCGGACCCCGTCCTGCCTCCGAGCACGGCCTCACGGGGAGAGACGCCAGCCCTGCCACGGCAGGCGAACCCACGCCGAGGGACCGCCCACCCGACCAGGAGCCCCAGCTTGTCAGCACAGCAGGTCCCGAGGGACAGAGAGGCAGGAGAAGGAAGGGCGGCAGGCAGCGCACACGGGGACCTGGGCTGGGACGGTGGCAACAGAAGAGCACCGTGTCGCCCCCGTCCACATCCCTGTCCGACGGCAGGTGACGCGGGGGAAGGAAGGCCAGCTCTGGGGAAACGCGTGCTGAAGGATCCGGGCCTGCGAGGGCCCTCCAAGGATGCGCGCTCGGGCACACCGCACAGCTTCGTGCTCAGAGGTGAGGCGACCGTGGCAAAGTGCTCACGGTGGCTGAATCTGGACTGAAGGGTCTATGGGACTTTATTGAAATATGCCTGCAGGGCTTCTCTTGGCCTGAAGATTTTTCAAGGTAAAAAGTTTAATTAAAAAAATTATAGAAACAAGAACACCAAAATACGCCATTGCTCCCGTGGGCACGACAGAGGTGTGTGGGGAGGAGGCCCCAGGATGGGCCCCAGGAGCTCCATCCAGGGGTGGGTGACCTGGGGAGGGGCGAGGTCTCCCCACTCCCTCTGAGCCCTTGCTTCCGCTCTGCTTTTTGTCCGGACGGGACACGAGGAGGGCGAGGCTGACGGTGACACAGCTGCTGTGAGCGTTCCAGGAAATGGGGACTGGCAGGCAAGGCCAGTGACCCTGTCCCCTCATCCCTGCCGCTCTGACGTGGGAAGATGAGACCCTTCTCGTCAGGCTCTCTTAAGGTCACACTAGACACTGGGTCGAGAGCCGGCACAGGCCCGGCCCTCGGTGGCCTCATGACCAGTGTCAGCTGAGAACAGGCCATCATTTAATCCCTGCTGTCTCTTCTGTAAGCCCCATGCCTGCTAAGGGCCCATCCAGAGCCACCCACCTGGCCTGGTCCAGGCACAGCCCTGGGTCCTGACGAGCGACAGGAGGGCTCCTCTTGGCGCCAGCTGTCCTCTGATGTGTCCCCTCAGGCAGTGACGTTCCTGGCCTAGCTGGTTTCTCGTCCGAGTGGACACGATGCCGGCCTGCCCTACCCCTCGGTCAACCTGTGTCCACATGCCACATCGCCTGGTCCCTTGTCCACTTTTCATGGGACAAGAGTAAGCACCCTCAGCGTCCTGTTTGCCACCCACTGATCTGCTCTGGTTCGTCCCGGGGCTGCCCACCCCTCAGCTAGATGCCTCTCTGCCTGTGAGGACACAGCTGTCTGTAGGGTCCCAGCCTCTGATCACTGGTGAGGACCAAACCCTAGGGTCTGGCTGTTGTCCCCCTACCGACCCGACACTGCGCATTTTCCTGGACCTCTTGGTGGTCCCTGCTCTCTCCCTTGGTCTTAAGCCTGCCTTCCTGGTCAGCCTCGACTGGAACCGAATCACTGATCCAGGGGACACTCACAGCGTCTTCTGCTTTGTGCTTCCCCCCTCCTGGCTGTGGTGACCCCACTATGCCTCACGCCCAAGCCTCACCCACACGGTGGGCTTCCCGCTGTCACGCTGACATCACATAGCTGCCAATCCAGCCGGCAGGCGCCCTCGGGGCATGTGGGCAGAGGGGGCTCGCCTCGTTCCCCTTGCCCCATCGAGGTGGTCGGGGGGCTCCGGGCCTCTGCCATCACTCACCACCCTGCCGTACTTCTCGGCTCCTGCAGCTCTGGGCAGGAACTTCCTAACCCCTGGATTAAGGAATGGATGAAACACCGCCCAAAGACGCAGGGGCACCAGGTCCCCAGTGGCTCAGCTCCTGGGAGGCCAGGGACACGCGGAGGACGGCAAAGAGGGGGGCACAGCAGCCACTCTCCAGAGAGCCACCCGCCACCGGGAGCCCTGGCACCTGCCCTGCCTGCTGCTGGGCCCCCGGGAGAACACCCAGGGCTTGGAGAATTGGAGGTCCTGTAGCTGCTGTGGGCGCGCTTCGAGAGACGGGGAACCTCCCACCTCCCCTCAATCGGGACCCGAGTCTGGCCACTCCGGACTCTCTCACATGGAGCCCAAAGGCGCACGAAAAACCACACGCTCCAGCCTTGCACCAGGGGCCATCTGTCCACTGGGAGCGTTCCAGGGAGAACGGGCATTAGTCGTAAGACTCCTATTAGCAAAGGGCTCCCTCTTCGGCCGCATGCGAGGGAACACTGGCTCAGCTCGTCAGGCCTGAGGACACGGGCCTGGGGAATCTCGGGTAGCAGGGCAGACTGGGCTGACTGTGCAGGGGAAGGGAATCAGGCAGGAAACATAAAAGGCTCTGGAGGCTAGTTTCAGATAAGGACAGGTGCTATCAAGAAGTAGAAGGCACAGAGGTGCCTGGGTGGCTCAGCCAGTTAAGCATGTGACATCAGCTCAGGTCTGATCTCATGGTTCATGAGTTTGAGCCCCGAGTCGGGCTCTGTGCTGACAGCTCGGAGCCCGGAGTCGGCTTCAGATTCTGTTTCCTTCTCTGTCTGCCCCTCCCCAGCTTGCGCTCTGTCTCTCTCTCTCAAAAATAAACGTTAAAAAAAAAATGTTTTTTAACTTTCCCTCTTAAAAAAAA